GCATATAATGAAAAGACTACCTTAGATAATCTCCTTCAAATACCTTAGAGAACCAGAGTCATATTCATACTTCGAAACTCAGCTATAACAGTTTAGTTGTCACGAGAGTGTCTTGAGTAAAGTTTACTTGACATAAAAAGAATAAGCTATTATCTTCATGATGATCAAGCCGGTGGAACAAGTCTATTATGAGGATATCTAAGGCCTTGTAGATTCTAACACAGCATTAAATTCATTGAAATTTGCAAATTTATGTACTATTAACATATATGATGTAGAAAGCCAAATAATTAGATACAGTTTCCTTATTTAATGATCTAGGTCAATAACATTTAAGCATACAAGGTTCGCATGTTTAATGAAAGAAATACTCACCATTCTCATGCCAATCAACTCGACATCTGGAACAATGGACCATGTCAAAAGAGTTACTTGGATACGGTAGCTGCTTTGTAGCTATAGCAGATATCATAGCATCGATTCCTCGTTCCAAAGCAAATTGAATTTGATTTTCATGACCATCTTTGGGAGCAAAAGACAGTGTTTCTATGTTAAGTGGAAGAAGATAAGCAGAGAAACTGGCAACCCCACAACCAACATCAAGCACTTGATATACCCCTGCCGCACGCAAGTCACCTGTCTCATCAGTTGTCATATTTCCTAATCTGCATTGAAGAAATGAATTACGTACATCAGATACATAGAAGAATGGTAGCGTTAAGAATTGATTTTCACCATTCTTAGTAAGTGTAATGGATCATCTAGTACAAATGGCTTCATTAAATTGCTTTAGGGAAGCCTTATTGTGTCGATTTTCATTTTTCATGGAATAATCAAAAAGCTGCAACTCCAATAATGACAGGGACAGGAGAAGTGAAAAAAAAACAGACCGCGTACCTCTCAATATATTCTGTAGCTCCATGCTTAAAATGAGTTCCACCGCCTGGAAACCACCAAAGCTGATCCTTCTCATGTACCCAATTTTGTCCTCCTTTTACCTCCGCAAGACGTGTATGGTTTATATTACTCCGCCATACATAGTCTCTGCTAGTTGGCCACCTTATTGGTATCTTATAATCAGCTGGAGGTGGAACCAAACAAAACAAGCGCCTGTCAAGTGGAGGACAGTGCCTCTCTAGCTCTTCTTTCCTTGAAAGATCTAATTTTGGCATCAACTCTTTAACATAAGAAATGTCATGACAGGGGATATACTCATTAAATTTCAGAGGACATACATTTATCCCAGTTTCAGGGATAGTGAGAGGTACCACCCGATAAGAAAGAGCAATCTTGTTCCTGAACTTCAGAATACCTGCATGCATATTATTTTTTTATCAAGTCAAGTGTAATAATGGGGATCTCCCGTAAACAAGAGGTACAGCAGAAAGTAAAGAATCTACAGTAAGATATGTTCTCTACGAAAGACAACCAATCTTCTATACAAATAGGCACCTCATGTTCTCTACCTGCATGCATATTACTATTAAAATATATGGATCAGAGATTCCGATAACAGGAAGCCAGTAAAAGCAGCCAAAGAAAAGAGAGTCAACTCTGAGAACTCAAAGTTCAATCAATTAGGGACTGCTCTCTGCAGCGGAGGGAAACTGACATCGAGGGTGAGAGTGACAAATTTAAGGAAAGTACAACGGTAAAGAAGAGGCAGAACACAAATGCACATGGACACATGTTGACTGCCTGACAGAATGCATCTCAGTTTCTAGAGGGAATTCCCAAGTAGTAAGGTTGACAAGGAGGATAAATAGTGATGGTTAAAAATAAAGAATATTGTTGAAGGATGTGGGGGACTAAGAGTTAATAGTCACACAGTCGAGAACAAGTTTACTACATGACATAGAGGAGTTGTTTGATGAATTAAATGGGATAACTATTTCCCTAAATTGGATCTAAGGTCGCGATACTGCCAAATTACTGAACATCACAAGTTTGCACTTGTCAAAGTTGCAAATCTCTACCAAATCTATTTGACAAAGTAGAAGCCAGTGGACCTATATCCCATTGCACTAGCCAAATGGATTTTGTGCCTGTGGTAGGATTAAAGCCTCCACTTTAACTAAGCAACCATGCAATTATTTCTAACAAGCCCCATTCAAGAGTAATCAGAACAATGCCCATATTGATTTGCCTCGAGAAAACAACAAGTTTGCCCATGCACACATAAAGATCAGATTCAAGTAGGAGGGTCAGTATCTCTGAGATACAAGGGAAATATAGATTCATATAAAGCCGAAGAAAAGCAAAACCGAAACAAGTAAGATGCACTGTCCTTACACTAAAACCTTCTGAGACAACCCAATTAAATAGATAAGCTACAAACAACAATAACAATACTAAGTATCAATCTTTATCCGTTGGGTTTCTATCTTGCTCCAGCACAAACATGAACAGCGCCTAGTTATCATTTATAACCAAAGAAAGTTATCATTTTTTCATCTAATTAACCCACCTAGAAGGAAATTTCAACAACTTTTTTGCAGCAAACATTACCAATCACATAAGCAACTCAAAATCATTTCTTTTTCATAATTTAATCGCCCAGCTCTCAACCAACCATATACACAGGGAAGTCGAAACCTACTTGTATTCTGAAAGACTAGCTTCCCCAGTGCAACAACATACCCAATGTAATCCCATGGATGTGTCTTGGAGAGTAGAGTGTACACAAACCTTACCTTATCTCATAGAGGTATAGAGGCTGTTTCGGAAAGACTAAAATCAAATTCTCTCAGCACATTTCTCCTACAGTCACACACTAACAATTACTACCCCATCCCAATTACCATTCTGGGAGTCCATTCAAACATTCTTTAAATTCTTTTAACAAACAAAAAGCTGCAATCTTTTTCGGTTACATTGGGAAAAACAATAAATTACTTAAAATCTTTCATAAGCAAACATAACTTGAACTCCATTTTTGATTACCAAACATTCTACAATCTACATGTAATGACCCTCATTTACCAAAAAGTCCACACATTTGCAATTTACACTAGTACTATTCTATGACATAATTAAAAAGGGCAGCTCGGTACACAAAACATCCCACGTTCATACACGATCCAGTAAAGGGTCACAACCCCAAGGAGTGTGACATAGGCAAGATGACAACTTTACCATTGCTACAAGACTCCCTTCATTCTATAACTAAAGAACACTCTAAACACTACAATTCTTGAAAAAGACAAACAGAGGACTCACCAGAGGATGACTCTGAAGAAATGGGGTTGGAATCAGCAGTGAGATTTTCACTTTGCTGCTGTTCTTGATGGATATAGAGAGATGGGTTTTCACCAAAAAGTGTACCAGTGTAAAAAGAACCCACCATTACCAAAAGGGCTATAATTATCATCTGCCCTGTATACCAATCAAATGCCCTCGAACTTATCAGAGATCCACTCATTTTCCCCCCTTTTCAATTTTCTCTTCAATCCAATGATGTTTGTATATAAAAAAGATTACAACTTTCGAATGAAATCAAAAGAATTGCTCATCGAAAAACATTGTACACCATGAGATCGACAGATCTCAGGTTTTTGTGTGTGTGTGTGTGTGTGTTTGGGGCTGAATCAGCAGTGAACAGTGTTGAGTGTCTTGTTCCTCCTAATTTTGTGTTTTTATTTTTTTATTTATTTACTTACTAGCTAAGTATTAAAAACACACTTTAAATTCATTTGGTACAATAATAAGAGATGATTAATTTAAGAATGAATTTATTTCATATTTGGTTGGAATAAAATTGTAGAATAACCTAGAGCCCGTTTGGATTGGCTAAAGAAAAATAACATTTAAATTAAAAATAAAAAGTTATATTGAAATAGCTTTTAAATCAAAAAAATAAAAAGTAGAGAAGGGTTACTTTTGGTTATTAACTGTCATTTTAAACTTATTTTAAGTTATTTTAACTTTACCAAACACTTTCTAACTTATTTAAAGTCATGTTTGACTTATTTTAAGTATTTTTATATCACTCAAACACTTTCATAAATAAAAAACTGACTTAAAAGTAGGTTTAACCAATTTTTAAGTCAATCCAAACACCCTCTTCTTTTGGAATGGCCAAAGTCATCTGTAGCCCCTTAAAGTTGTCCGC